GATGGATGGATGAATGGCCAGATGGATGGATGAATGGATGCATGGATAGATGGATGGATGGATGGTTATTATATTACTCTGGGGTTTTTTGTACCTTTACTTGGACAAACAGCCTCATCGCTTCCAGAGGGACAGTCTTTGGTTCCATCACACACTCTGTCTGCGGGAACGCACTGGTCTCCTCGACACTGAAACTCTCCTGGTGCGCACACACAGCTACAAAGACAGTCATGTGAAATGTTCGTGCAGATGAATGGTCGTAGTAAACACAAAAAGAAAACAAAATCTTCTACTAACCATCTTATATGGTCTTTGTAAAACAGACTAAAACAACTAGACCAGTGCAGAGCATCAAACTTCATAATACACACCCTCTCTCATCACTGAGGTCCCCACAGTCATCGTGGCCATCGCATCGATGGAGGTACAGAATACATCGCCCCCCCGCACACAGGAACTCCCCTTCATCACAAACCACACCACAGTCTGGGCCGAGAAAAGTAAAGTTCATCACAATTCACAGTTATTGCTGTCATTAAATGTACAAAGAAATTTGCGAACAGGACACAGTGCTTCACGAAGACTTCATGGAAATTCATTTTAACAGTATGCTGCTGAGGCAAGTTTCTGATAGAGCGCATTTCTTGAAGAAAAGGTTTTTTTGATAGTTTACCTTGCTCATCAGATCCATCAGCAAAGCCACAGTCCAGCCATCCATCGCAAACACGGCTGGCTGGCAGACACTTTCCATTTGCACACTGAAATTCCCCAGGTGGGCATAGCGGCACAGGGGTGGCAGGTCCACAGAACTCCTCATCTGATTGGTCAGCACAGTCTGGGTGGCCATCACAACGCAGAGCCAGGTTCAAACATGGTCCACTGCAGGGTTGGGGTTCATTTACTTAATTCTCTCCAGTGATTTTGTGGCAAAGAAAGACTGATTCATTCAACATAACATAAACCTGACCAGGACATGTTAGCACAGTGTGATGACATACAAATCAGCTACTGCTAGCATAAACGGCTTTGCTCAGTGTGATTGGATGAAGTGTCTGAGAGTGTGTCTCACAGTAAGATAAAAATGTGCTTTGGAGTAAATTGGAGAACAGTCAGCAGTGCAGTTTGGTCATATGTATGTAAAATGTTGTTATTTAGAGGGTGTAAGCTACCCCACAGCAGTTACCATTCAAAATGAATAAATCATGAAAACAAAAATAAATGTCTTCTGCCTGGCACATGGAGAACTGGAGGCTAAAGTGGTTCAAGCTCTGGTAAAACTTTACACAACAACAGACATGTTTGAGCCTTCATACTGCCGCACACAGGAAATTAATCCTTTTAATAAAGTTAATTTGGACTCGCCTCGGTGTGCTGGTACAGTGGAAATGGTTCGGGGAGCAGGTGGATGGACAGATCTCATCTGAACCGTCACCACAGTCGTCTTCATTGTCACACACCCACTGGGTGGGGATGCAGCGTCCCCCAGCACAGGTAAACTCTGACTCCAGACAGGGAGGGGAGGGAGGAGGGCAAGCCACACCATCACACTTCCAAACACCCTCCTCACAGGAGCTGAACACACAAAGGCAAAAGGTTTTTATGGACAGCTTATTTACCAAAGACAAAAACAAAGAATACACATTTATAAATGTTCAGAAAGACTGACCAGTTCTGGCAGTGTTGAGTGACAGCAGCTCCAGCTGGAAACAAGGAGCCATCCCACTCACACGGACACTGGCTGGGAGCTACACAGCTGTCGCCTGTTTCATAAAAAGCATACAGACAAAGAACGTAAAGACGGCAGTGGGTCGTTGTGGGTTAGACTGAAAAAAGACATCCAAAACAGTAGCAGCTACTTAATTTTAGTGGTGCGACGCAGCTGGTTTCAAATACTCTGGTCTGGTGAAGAAGCAAAAATAGTACTCAGTGTAAGAGCAGTTTTTACACGTGTTTCTGTCAGCATGACACCGAGACAAGTCAGATCACAGCATTAATATTTCAGCAGTGATGATAAACCTGGAATATGTATATAATCCCATTAGCTGTGCAGAAAAAGAAGCCACTGCATTTTCTAGCACCTCCTGACTGCTTGGTGTTGTAGTCCTGCGTTTTGAATATATCCTTATTAAGAATTCGCTACTACGTTCCCATTTGATTATTTACATTTTGTATTTATTTAGTATTTTGATTCCTTAGTTATTGGTTTTGCTTATTGGTTGTCAGTTTCTTCACTTGTGATGTTGTAAGTAGTTACTAAGTGATTATAAACTCCTTCCTGCTGTGAGTCTTTTGGTATCTTATACTTTTCCGCCTCCCTCATGTTTCTTTAATCTCGTCGAGTCTTTGTCTCTGCTTTAGGCATTACCTGTTTAGGTTACTTCTAGTGCTGTCAGCATTAATCTCGTTACAATGACGTTAACGCTATAACCGCATTAACGCAGCACAGCGCTCACGGGCTAACCACGCTAACGCGTTGATGCCGTGCAGCCCCACGCTCGGGGCAAGCCGCGTTAACTCGCTAACCAAGATTCGCCGCGTTAATGCGGTTAGGGGTTAACGTTATTTTAACGAGATTAGTTAGTTCCTGTTTTATTTTGACAGTCATTTGTGTCTTGCACCTTTTAGTCTTAGTTTTACTTTCATGTCTTGTTACCTGAATTAGTTTCAGCTGATCCCCACGTGTCTCTCTTTCTCTGGTGACCTGTCCTATTTCAAACCTCAGTGAGTGTTGTTGGAGTGTCTGTTTTCTATACCTGTGTTCCTGTCTGTGCTTGCCTCTAGCCTGTTTATACTGCTTGTCATTCTTATGCTTTGCTCACCTTCTGTTTCCTGTGTTTTTACCCTGAAGGAGAATATTTTGGATTTTTAACATTTGCTTTCAGCCTTTGTGTCTCTTGTTTGTCTCAGAGCCCCACGTTTGGTTCCTCTTCCTGCACCAGTCCTGAAAACTGGCACGTCAGTGAAGTTACTGCTGCTGTGCAGTGTGTGTGAATGTGCACATCACTCAGTTTTTAGTTGGTTTTTGTTCTGCATGTAGTATAAGGCTGTAAGTTCTAAACTAAAGAAGCAAATCGCCCAAGTTTAACTTCCCACACATACTGTATGCATGTTGTATTAGGCGTTCAGCACCCATTCCTCTCATTCTTCTGACATGTGGCTTCAAGTTCTGCTTTGTCACATTAAAATACCGATACAGAGTCAACTGTAGTGTTCAGTTTTATACATCACAGCTATGGACAGAGCAGAGTCTGTCTCACCATGTCGGACAGTGCCTGCAGGACAGAAGCAGCCCTCCACACAGGAAACAGCATCGCAGCTGGAATGTGGACTTTGCTGAATGGTTGGACATGAACGCGAGCAAGCTGGACCACAGGGATCATAAACCAGCCCGTTGTCACACTGCAGAGCTACGGGAAGATGAAGTTAAAGTTAGAGAAAGTGTGCCCCGGACATTAGCTCAGGCATGGGCGTGTGTGCAGGATGGTCCCCAACGTACGACAGAGCTCCTGGGACCGCCAGTGGATGTAGACCCCTCGCCGGTTACACTCTTCGGCGTAGGTAGCGATGGCTGTACAGAGACACTCACAGTCTCCACCTGAGTCACAGCTAAAACACGTGACAAACAACAAAGCTACCTTTAAACTGTTACTCCAAATACACAGTTTTAGAATGACTTGGTTACATTTTTCCTTACTAACTGCTGTATAAGCAGCATGCTTCGCTGGTGGCAGTCCTGTAATCATTTTTGTAACAGCGGACAGTTTTTTTTTTAACTAAAACCCAGTGACTGAAGATTGCATTTTTCTTGGTCAAGTAAAAATTTCTTTCACCAAATGATAATTGATATCATAAACAGTCACTGTTCTTACCTCAGTTTAATCAGATTTCAGTTTATGCTCATAAAAACAGGGATTGTTTGCTAAACTGCAAAAGGGTACGGACCGTTTTACTCAAACAAATCTGTAAAGTGAAACGAGATACTTCAGACAGCAGATACAGCTGATGATAAAGTGCAAAATAGATTACCCCATTAACCTGGCAGCATTATAAATACGCTAGATACAACTGTATTTTCCGCACTATAAGGCGCACTTAAAATCCTTTAATTTTCTCAGAAATCTGCAGTGCGCCTTATAATACTTATGCATGAATTCTGGCTGTGCTTACTGACCTCGAACCGATTTTATGTGCCTCACGGCGCTCAAAAATCTGTCAACAATGTTTTAGTACGACTTTGGTAGCTATGAAGCCGCACTGCTTGATGGATGGTCGGAGCATTACGGCTGCCACAGTCAGGAGCCTCACGGAGTAATCTGGGTCCTAAACTCCGTCGCCTTCAGGTCCCAAAGTCAAACAAACACTACTGTCTAAATTCTTTCATCTTTAATAAAATGATCAGTGTTGCTGCTTTACCAGGTGTAACAATTAAGTTTAACATCCAGGCATCCATGAAAACAGGATTTATTACATTTAACAGAGTTAGAAGTTAGCAGGAGGTTAGCTCACTAGCTTCCACCTAAACATGATGTAGCATGTTCTGACTGAGAGATTTCTGAAACAATTCAAACGTACAGCTCTGCTATCACTTCCAACATAAATGAAGACAGAAAACTAAACAGCAGTGACGTTTGTAGGGTTACTGAAGTTGGGCTAGCTGGTATATAATGATGTGCTACGTGATCACTAGCGACACAGCTATGTTAGCATAACATAAACACAGTGAAGCTGGAGGATGAACATTAACTTTTTTCCACTCGATAAAAGTTAACGTGAGGGTTCCTGATGGTTAGGGACAAATGCAATCGCAGGATGCTGTAAACGGACCAAACTTCAGTCAGGAGAACAACTGAGATAATCCATCCACAATACGAGGTTAGTCATTAATGTACTGCAACAACGTGGAAACAGAGCAGCTGCAGAGAATTCAACATTAATGAATCAATGGTAGGAAAGTGGAGGAAGCAAGAAGAATGAGTTGAGTAAAGTTTGACTTATCTGACTGTTTTGTTTCACTTAATGCTATTATGGTCCAAAAAATACGGTATATATTTTTTTAGGTTTAATATGTCTTGCATAGATTAGCGTTGCCACTCACCCACAAGCATCAAAGACACACCAGTCATAATACTGCTGAAAGGGCACCTCAGGGTGGCACCTTGAGAAGAGTCCCTGAGTCAGCACAGCACATTTTTTCCTGGCCCATGTCACTCTGTGGGGGTTCAGCTGAAGAAGACAGTGTCAGAACTTAGTGTAACGCAGACTAAAACCAAAAATCCCTCTGTGTGTGTGTGAATGTGAACTTACGGCGCAGGGGTCCCGGAGGTCCTGGTCTGCCACGTCAGGGCAGGATGGGCTGACCTTCCAAGAGTTTCCAAACAGCTCGGCTGTCGATTCCACAATTCCCTGCCGTGTTGTGAAGTCGTTCTCTGTGTCCCCATCAAAGTTACCACACAGGCCCCCGACCCGACCACGAAGATGGGCCGCCAAACGCACGTACACACGCATACCTGGAAGAAGAAATGCAAGTTGCAAGCAGCAATTATGGGACAGAGTTTTTAAGCAAGGCACAGACACTATGGCAACTACATGTACTAATGTTGTTGTAAATACTGATAATTGTGACAGGCTGCAATCGCTCTAACGGCCAGTAGGGATGAACTTAAATCCCTACTTTAAAGGAGCAAATGCGTGTCACTTTAAGTATTTCAATGTTTTTCTGTGTATTTTCTGCAAAGGATCTTTTATATTTAGTTTATATGTGTGCGTCTTACCTCCATCCCACAGCAAAGTGACTCCAAGACGCGACGAGAGGGACACAAACAGGCCAACTTTTTCCAAAGTCAGGCCACTGCCACTGTAAGACTTTGGTAGGCTAACTGGCATCCCATTTACTGTCACAGCATTACCTAATGTCACAGACAGTTCAGCAATTAGACCCTCACTTTCCTCACATAGTACAATCACTTTGCCAAAATAGAAATAGGACACATTTGTGAGTCATGTCTGATAAAAACAGCACCTAAGAACACACAAGTGATTCAAAACTTCAGTGAAAGTTAAGTTAAACTCAAGATCACAGACGAACTTGTTTGATGGGACGTTCGGGGTTTTGCCTTTGAGGGCAAGCAGCTTACCCGTGCAATGATTTACATGTTTGAGTATGATTCTGAAGGTCTCTAGTTTGAGTGTAGTAGTTGGGTATGTGGTGTAAAAATATGTGGTGTAAAAATCTGACATATCAAAAGCCCCCTATTCACAAGAGGTCACCACATGGTGACCTCTTGTGAATAGGGGGCTTTTTCTAAAGCAGTATTCTGCTCTCACATGGGTTCCAAGGGGCCATGTTTGCTGGACATAAACTCTCATTTAGCAGCACCATTGAGCCCTCTACCTCTTAGAAGATGTATGACCGTGTTTCCCAGACTGAGGGTGACTGATTTTGTGCAGGTGACTCCCGTGCTTCCGCACGGCACGTTCTCCGCCGTGACGCTGAATAAGCCGCTGGTCTCCC